GTGGTTGGGAGGGACAACAGTGTCCCTCCTGTGCTCAACCTAACTGAAGTCCCACCCACCTCCTCCGCCCCCGATGTGTCCGACGCGGTACGCGCCTGGGAGACCTCGGATGCGGCAGTAGCTCGGTGGCTTGCCACTCAGCTTGACCACCCGGAACTCTGTAGCCTCCTCGACAACTTCAATCCTCCCCAACTGGTGGACGGCTGCTGGACCCTTGTTGAGGCCTCTGAGGCCGCAGGAACTGTCGACGCCCCTAGTGTCCCAGCCCGGCAACCTCCAAAGTCCTCTCTTTTGTCCAGGCTGCAGGATATTTCCAAGCAACAAATGATCAGTCACATCAGACGGTATGTATATCTATCGGAGGCATGCTAGACATTCTACTTTATGTCTATATATGTACATATTCTGAATGGTCGAGAAGATGCCTGGCCCAGGTAATTGAATAGAAAACGGTAAAGCCGCTAGTTTGTTTTCATGTATACGGATGGAGATGGATTTCCCGATTTGGTCACAAAACGTAATGTCGAGGCCCTCCGGGCCTAAAATATAAAATTTATTTATTTATTAAAAAACTATATTAAAACTGGTACATGGTATTTTGTAGACGATTTCTCCTCTGCTGACATGGCAGACCATGTCTATTGTGAGAAATGAATTGTTCCGAATTTTGGCCCAGGTTCAGCTGTTTTTATTTGGTTACAATTAATTTTCAGGCGCTAGCAGTCTAAGACTTATTTACTCCTCTTTGTAGCCGACTTTTCTGTATTCAGTCAGCATCTTTGAAGTAAATGACAGATAGCCTTAAAAACTCCATTGAATTGCTACAGGTATGCATAAGAAGTAGTTCAGTATAATCAGGATCAGTTTATTGAGGGAAAGATAGGCGAACGTCTTTGAACTCCCTATTGGCAAGAAGGTGATAGAAAATACATGGATACAAATAAAAATTTAAAAAGTATGTCAATTGCATATTGTGGGTGAAGGCACAGCAGTTTTTGAGTAGTCGAAATAATAATAAAACAGGACTACTCGCTTATCACGAGTAGTATAATGTAATGTAGTTTCTTTTGTTAACATGGGGATGTGCGATGGTGTGTGTGGTCCATGTCCAGTCTGCTCTTAAATGAATTAACACAGGTGGAGAGGACAACCTATCCGGGAAGGGCGTTCCACGATGCAACTACTCTGTTGCTGAAGAATAATTTTCGTCCCTCGATCTTTGCTTTGCTGGGGCGTAGTTTAAGCAGATAACCGCGCAATGTTGGTGTATTAACCTGGGTAAAGAAATTGTTATGGGTCGTATAAGTATGCAAAATGCTTAGAAATATTGAAGAAATATGAAGGCCAAAAAGGCTGGAGCATTTGTGAACTAACAACGTAGGACGCGTTCACTGCATTTGCACTGTAACATTTTCACCTGAGTCAGCTTTAATATAAACCAACGATCTTTTAAAATCAAGGAAGTAGTCTGTTTGTAGTCATCTCTACAATTTTTTAGATAAGGTTTCGCAAGTTTGCGTTGACCGTTACATTTCTTCTTCTTTAGGCTTCTCATATCTCACCCAGAATGCATTTCCGAGGCCTTTGAGTGCGTCCAGCATCTTCAGATTGCCTCTGTGAGCACTGTTGCAGCTTCCCCTACCACGGCATCCAAGCCTGCCTCCCGTCCCTCCGCGCCAAGATCAGTCTCCGAGTCCTTACCTTGATTTTCCCGAATTTTGCCCCCCCTCCCCCCCCGTCCGTGCTCATACACTGTGGCACTACATCGGATTCTGTTCTCCCTCCCTCGCCCTCCCTACCTAGGTTGACCAGGACTACCTCCACCTCTCCCTCCCTTTACTCACATCTTGACTGGTTATATTTCCTCGTCGTTGTTTGGCATGCATACTCCCTCCGTCTCCCCGACACTGTGAATCCCTCCTCTCCCCCTTTTTACATGGCCTGCACCAATCCCCACTGTTATGCGCTTGTGCCTCTGGCTCTGCGATAATGTACTATATGCACTACTCTTACGCAATCAGAGTAATTACACCCAACCGCCCCCTCAGGCCCGAATTAGGTTCTTCATTTTCGGACGATCGATCAGCCGCGACCTCTCTACTTCTGCCTTACAGCACAATTTGGGTTCCTTTTTTGCTCTTTCTCTACCTGCTGTTGATGCTGATGCTGCTGCTGTTTCAATTACGACGATCCTATTCTGTTGCTTCATTTAATTTTCTTTTTTTCAGCTGACCTACGAGCATTGGAGTATTTTTTTTGAAATCAGTACATTTTTGTCTCACCGCGCCTGGTCTCATTCCACATAATCCGGTGAGGGGGCCGCCCTTAGGACGAAGTCATTTCCTTTTAGGAGGCTTAGTTAGCTTTCTGCACTGCTTGTGGGGGCAGCGACTGCCGGAACTCACTAAAACTTTTCTTTCTCCAGTTGAAAGGCAAATCTAAGTGTTGTTAGGGAGGTTTTGACAGATCTGCTTAATCTAGTTGACTCAACTGGGAAAAAAAACCTCGCGGCTTTTGGCGGGAGTTGAACCCGCATAGCAGGAAAAGCCTTAACGCGAAGCCAATGCTCTACCATTTGAGCTACAAACGCCACGCCTTGTGCAGTGAATTTAATCACACTTGGGTCGATTTCACCCGCCCAACTTTACCGGTCGTAAGGAATCTACCAATACGGAACAGCAAGCTGACTGCCCAAGCGGGGTTTCCCAAGCAATCAGCGAGAATCCACCAGAATGACTACTAGGATGGCTTAATTAATTATGGAGTGGCGTTTATAGCCCAAGTGGTAGAGGGTTGACTGCGTAAAGGCCTTCCCTACAATACGGGTTCGACTCCCGCCAAAAGTCGCAATTTTTTCACAGTTGGGTCAAATGAATTAAGCAAGTCTGTGGAAGCCCCGTAAATATTATAAGAACTTCAGTTTCCACTTGCCTTGTCTTGGTTCTGAGGTACTTAGGTACCAGTAAGGGTTAAATCTTTCACAATCATCCCATAAGTACGTGCCCATGTTAAACGTGCTAAATTCTAGTAATCGTGCATACTAAGGCTAGTAGATAGTATGCCATAAATACTGCCTGTGTGTGCTTTTTAGGAAGTCGCACCCAGTATGCGCACCCAATCAGTGTAAGATAATAGTGATTAGCATTTGGATAATGATTGAGCGTTTGTAAAGTGATGCACAAGTCCTACCCAGCTTCAGCAAAGGTATATGTAATAAGAGCTAAAGATCTATCACGCATTTAGGTCGGAACAAAGTGACATATGCCATTTTTCAGGATACTTCTGTTTGAATTGATGTGCCTATGCTAAAAGTGCTAGTTATATTAATCATACTTGCTAAAGCCAGTAAGTGGCAAGCTGCAGTGCGGCCTGTACGTGCATGAAGACATTTTTGGCCTAGTTGGCAGTCGTAGCCTTGATGGGAATTTTAGTAAGCTGAAGATCTACCATGCATTTTAGTCATAACAAAGTGGCATTTGCCATTTTTTCCAGGGTACCTCAGTTATCGGCCTTGTTAGACAACTTGTGGACGCGAACTCGGTATCATAGTTTGTCGAGCCGTGTCATTGATTTTTCTACAGTATATAGTTTTGCTCAGAATTTACAGAGCATCATCTGTCTATTAGGAGGCAAACTTCTCCACAATAAAGTAGTCATGAAGGCTTAGTAATTCCCATAGCAGTATTAAAGGTTCGGTAATAAGCCATGCATCTTACATGCTCTACAAGTATGGTACTAGAGGAAAACAGTGTTCCTGAGACTGCAGTAGGCTAAAAGGTTAGACTAGGCTTTGAGGACTAGACTGCACTATCAGAACTAAACAAATCTAACTAAGAGACTGGACTGCGTAAGCTAAGAGGTACATGTGTGTCTAAACTGAGTAATGAAGTTACAACCAGCTAAATTCGAATTATGTGTAGCTAATAAAGCAAATTTACTGCTGGGCTTAGGAGAACTAGCCTATATTAAAAGAATTAAAAATAGCAAGCTTACGCGCGTCTTAGGCTTCATGCGGGCTGATATTTAAGACACCCGACGAGCGTTCACGTCCACGAGCGGGTAGTCCCTGCCTGGTTCATGTGGACGAGGATTGACTGGCATAGACTGCAAGGCCAATGGCTGCTATCTCCTGAAGAGCCAGATATGATCGTGGCATCAGTAAGTTTACTTGCCCGACTTCTGGGGTTCATAGTCCGAACTCTTTTCAGAGAAACATGATCAGATAACTGTCGTTTGTTTTAAAGTTGTTGTCATATTTGCAGAATGCACCTGCCACGCCACTGCAAAATTGTACTTGATTTGATTAGCTCCTCTTGTTGGATGAATCGGTTTCACGGATAGTCACTATTGCTTTT